TAAAGTATGTATGTATGTATGTATGTATGTATGTATGTATGTATGTATGTATGTATGTATGTATGTATGTATGTATGTATGTATGTATGTATGTATGTATGTATGTATGTATGTATGTATGTATGTATGTATGTATGTATGTATGTATGTATGTATGTATGTATGTATGTATGTATGTATGTATGTATGTATGTATGTATGAACTTTACATCAAATCTGATTGGTTTGTCTACATACTTTACTTCTATCACATGTTTTTACCTTCTAATCATAACCAGTCCTTACAAACGTTGTGGCATAACATCATTAAAAACATTAACAGAAGGTTAATTCGAAGCTTACTTAGTTGTTTAGATGTCCTATAGCCTTAGAACTCGCAACCTACGGTTTGATTGTGTTATGAACGGGGAATTAAGAAGCCCAGACAATTACGAAAGCTATTTTCTTGGGACGTTATTGCATTTCATTCAAACCTTGTAAAACACTTATATTTATTTTTGTCCCTATCTTATTCTACATAACACGAGCTTTCGTTCTATGAATCATTCACTAGCATACTCCTTTTTGTTCCGAAAATATTGTAATTTAAAGATAATATTTTGCACTGTATTTTCTACCCTAATTCCCTGTTTCGGGCATAACTGTATTTTTCCAAATTATTGTACGTCGTAGTCAAGATATTGACTTATTTATTCATGTACATTTTTGTACTAATCTGAATTCAGATAATTCAGAGTTCAGTGTTCCAACTGTCTTGCCTTCTCTCACTTGCGTGCTTGCCAACCAATCAGGTTCTAGAATAGTTATCTCTCTACCCCATCTCGAGCTCACGCGTGATAGACTCAAGGTTAAGCCGCTCACCCTATCGCGTCAAGGTCATAGTTAAATCTAGACAGATCAAGGTGAAGTCATAACAAGTATCACGGGGTAAAAGCGATTCAAGGTCATAACAGATTGGTACGTCATTACAATATACTTTAGCCAAATACAGTACAATGGTGGAAAACTATTCAGATGCACCCTTCTAGTCGAAAAGTTTCAAGGTCAACACTAATGATTATTGAATTAAACGTTACTCAGTGTGTGAACTGAAAACATCTTGATATTTCACATGTGCGAACTGCATGGGCTCATGTGCCTATTAAATTAAAAACTTTACGTATGCAATAGCCTAATACGGGTTGAAAGTAGTTCTTTAAAAACAGTTAAGATACCTATAAGTAGCTACATGCGTTACAACTAAAAACAAAGACTAATCGTTAGTGAGCGTGACCGAAGGTCCTGGGTTTGAATCCCACGTGCGGAATAATGGACAAGCACTGTCGAGGAGTCCCATAATTGGACGACAGCCGTCCAGTGCTTCCAGCTTGCTAATGGCGGTCTAACATTGATCGGTTCACTATTTCAATGAAAGTAAAAATGAATCACCTGTCAGTTATGTCCATTAACTAATTAAATCTTATGCTACATATTAAAGAGGAAGAATGTATTTGTAAAATCTCAGCGAAAGAATTTGAGATTTTACAAACATATTCTTTCTCTTTAATGACTCACATTAACTCGGCGCCCAATTGTTGTGAGACTATTCGTTCAAATTTAGACGAAAGTTCTTATTTATACTACCTATTATACAAACAAGAGAAATCAGTGGATGAATGATTGCAGCTTACAGGAAATAGAAAAATAACTTGCACAAACTCTTAGTAGATATCTGACAAAGATTTACGAAACTAAGTTCCACCGTTTAATACCACGAAACGACAATCAAGGCGATTTAGTAAAAATACTCACAGCAAAGATTAATGAGCAGCGACTGTACCACGAACGTCCATCCAGATTTGACATAAAAACACTGTCAAATGACTTAAATTATTTTATTCATAGAATTACTGTCTGATTTCATATTTAGTTTTAACCTAGAACTTTTACAGATCCGTGTACTCACTTGACTCAAGGATAGAAATCACGTGAAAGTTGGAGATACTAATCTATGATCAGAGGTACGGGATCAGAGCAAGACTATGTGTTTGACCATCGTGAAAAAAAAGCAGAAATATAGCCATAAATAAATCCGCTACAATCTGTGTGACAAGTAAAACATTACAAAATTAAGATATTTTCAATCACTAATGATTAATTATGGTCAAATATATTAATTCGGTTTACATAAAAAGTTTCTGAACTGGACAGAGACCAATGTAAGTTTTGTAAATAGGTAGAAATGGGATGAAAACACCTAAATAATCATCAAAATAATAGCTTACTCTAACATTTGTATCATCACTACCCGCAAGGATGAGATTATTTGATCGATCCAGTGTAGTAACAGCATTTACATCAGCTTTTGATCGTGGATTTACAGCCTTGATTAAAATGGAAAAAAAACTGAACCTATAAGATCAAAATACAATTAACTATGTTAAAATATTTGTTAGTAATTAAAGCTGGTACAAAAGTTTTACACTTACTTATAGAACAAAAAAAGTTAACAAAGAGAACTACTATACAACCGCCTGTACTCTAACAAGTGTAGATCAAAATATGTTAAACAATAATAAAATTCGATTCCCAAAAAACTAATCCATATTTACACACATAACCCAAAACTTAGTAAACAAGACATCACGAATTAGTGATATGCTAATTTGCTTATAATAACAATATAACTAATATACTGTAAAGTTCTATGCATATAGATATGAGCATATGGTAGAATCAATTACATATTTACGTAGATGGGAAACAAGTAAGGAGTTTTCATTAATGAGAAACATAGTTCATTGTCAATTTAAAGAATGTGTTCAGTTCGATATAATGAACTTTTTAACGAGTGATAATTAGTTTTAACTTTTAATACTGTTTATTTTAAGGCTTACATTTAGTGGGAAAACTCATTAGTTTTTTGTGTATGAACCTGGTTCCTATAATTTTATATTAGTGAATAAAAAAAGCGATTTGTTTTATACATCTTTGCCACACATGTCCAAATGATCTAAGTTTTCTTAATGATGACTCAGAACTCGTTTGGGTATAAGGTCCATTCTGTCTGTTGAAAGTATTTCGAGGAGCTATGCACTTAATCAAAAAGCGCTATTAAATACCTCCACGCAGTGAGAAAACTTTTTAAAATAATGACATAACAGTTAAAAATCCACTTCTAGAGTGGGGCAATAGATACGAAATTTTCGCTTAGGACAGTTAGTAAACTTAGCATCTGAAACAGTAGAAGAAATGAGCTTTAGGTTAACATCAACAAATAGTTGCTGCCCTGTATGAACGCGAGGGACAACAACCCCTGTTTCAAAATCCTCACATGTAATGCGTTGTTACAGGCCGATGTATGACTAGGTCAACAAAATTACGATTCACTGGAGAGATGTCACTTTAGTGTATCAACACGTTGTCACCTAATTGACGTTGAATTTTATCATTGGATAGACAGATGATCATGGGTTGCAAGCGAAAAACTAGTTGCATGATTTGTAATAAATTCACTCCGTCTGCTAACTGGGTCAAATGTAATTTGCATCATTCATACCTCGACCTTAATTTGTGGGTGAAATAGGTATGGTGTCACTGTGGTGCTAAAACTATGACATAAACAACAGTGATTTCAACATAATCACGTGAATTTTCCATTACTTGATAACACTATTACTACATCTCTCGTTAACCTAAACCAATTGTTCTCAGACTACTCAACTACACTAGAACGAGAAAGCTAACACAGAAACCTACAGCGAGACAGAGTTTGGATGAAACCATGTTCAGTGAGGGATTGTATTGGAACATGCTGATTGATCATCTCTCAGCCAATCAGAACGGGGGGATATTGGGAGATGATTAGATGATCTTGTAAAACTATGGATATACTCACGTTTTTCTAATTGTGAAATCATACTCCTGTTCAGTCGTGTTTTGATTTGGGGAATAGTCGAGTGAAATAAGGTGTCTGAAGAATACCAAGCAATAAGAGTAGCTGGTTTGTAATGACACAAACTATGGTGATTTCAAAAAAGATATGTACGTGGCATACAAATATGGGAACAAAAAAATAATTGTAAATAATTTGTAAACATAGATGGAAGTGATGCTTAAATATGTCGATTGATACTACGGTTGTGCTTACCAATCAGTGCATTAACTTCTAAACCACTGCTAACTAAATCTACTATCACATCAGTAATTGGTGACACAACTTCACCATCCAACTTTATACTTTATACTGTTTATCAAACCATGTTGCAAAATGACCCAGGAATAACCTCAAGAAAGAATGTCCAAGTCTACATTACTCGGTTCGATCGTTACAAAAGGTGAACCAAACAACATATAGGAAGATAACATTTTGCAGAAGTTAAAGAAAGGAAATCATATAACAATAACATCGGAAAATCCGAATATTAGACGAGTGTTCAAATAAGAATGCAGAGCCGATAAATTTATTTATTTCTAGAAGTTTATCTTGCTAGTCATTTAAGACAAAATATCTCTGACCTATTCTAAAATTCGTAATGAAAAATATTTTAGTCCGAAACAATATTTTACTTAAGGATCACTAATGTTAGTCTACTTTTTCAGTTTGGTGCGCCATATTAACAGCCTGATTCATTACCCACCCACTATCAATTTAATCACCAAGTTTCAGTTGTAAAAAATGGGGGTTCACCATGAGAGTTAGGTAAAGTATGATGCGAAATATGTGTAAGCCTGTTCTTTTATAGGTAGACTAACATTATGACGGTTCCTTAAGTTATTTAAATGGGCATACTTTACTGTAGTATTTGCTGTTTGGAAACATTAAATCATCCCCATATATTGCGAGTTTATTGATCAAGGAAAGGGTTCTATTTGTTTTTATTTGTAAAAGAAGTATGCTATCAGTAGAATGTTGATCTCAAAATCAAAGTAATCTAAAGAAACTTGAATTGAAATGTGATACACAAAAACAAATGAATAAACAGCCGAGTATTATAAGCACAGATTGATGGTGGCTAGCAGTAAAATCCAGGACGCGAGGTCTAGGTTTAGGGTATTCGTACACGAGACCGAAGGTCGTGTGTTCGAATCCCCTCTGCAAACAACACCCCCATAGCCCCCAAATTCCCTGGTACGACCGAGAGTGAAGAGAGTCAGCCCTCCCTCACGAAATGCTCTCACACACCCACGCGTTTACTGTCACTACCAGAGAAGCCTTAGTCACTGGCTTATCATGGTTGGGGTGTTTAATAAATTGGTGGATATGAAGGATCCATCTAGGGAGTTGGAAAACCCTGATTCCATATCAATGGTGTACATGAGCTGAAGGATCCTGAAGGAACAAATGGCATATGAACCAATTATTGGTCACCGGATTCCATGGGACTGCATCTCTTTACGTTGTTCCACTGCCTTATGGATCAGACATGTAAGTCGAAAGCTCCGGGTGTGACCCTTTAAGAAAACCATCTGCTTCGGTCTGGGCACCCGGGCAGTATCGCAGCCCACACGCAAATGATGAACTCTCTATATCTATGGAAACTACTTTTCTCGCTTCGAATAACAATCAAATGATTCAAATTATTATTATTATTATTATTATTATTATTATTATTATTATTATTATTATTATTATTATTATTTACCACATTATTCACCCTCTTCTATACTTATACAGCGGCTCGTCTTTGGTGGAAATTTGACTGTATCTAAACGTTCTCGAGTCACTGTCCGGTTGAAAATTGTATGTTACCACCAAATATGAATACTAAAGCAGTTTTTCCGAAACTACGTGCACCATTCAAACTGGCTGCCTTCAACGTTCGCACACTTATGCAGGTCGGACAACAGATAGGGCTGGCTATGTCTTTGGAAAGTCTTAATATCGATGTCTGCTGTCTATCCGAGACCCATATTCAAGACTCTGGTGAAGTACAACAAATTCGCTCTTCATCTTTCGCTTCGAAAAGGTTGTTTTACGTGCGCTTATCCGGGGACCCTGTGGCATCTTCGTCTGGTCTTGCTGGCGTCGCACTAAGCGCTAGAGCTGAGGCAGCAATAATCGATTGGATCCCCATTAACAGTCGGTTATGTGCTGTTAGATTAGAAAGTTCCATCAAAGTGAGAAGAAATCGGCGTGAGAAACGATGTCTTTTCGTCATCTCCGCCTATGCCCCAACAGATTGCAGCCCGGATGCAATCAAGGATGAGTTTTACCACCAGTTATCTGTTCTTCTCCAGAAAGTGCGTTCGACAGATATTGTAGTACTAGCCGGAGACTTGAATGCTCAGGTCGGGCGTCTAGGCACAGAAGAGAGTCGTTTAGGTGGCCGATGGGGACTCGTTGGTCGCAGGTCAGATAACGGGGACCGTCTACTGCAACTGTGCACAGACCACAACCTCTTTCTGGCTAGCACTAACTTTCGGCACAGTCATCGCCGATGTGCCACCTGGCGTCCTCCCTCTGCATCTCAAGCCTGGACTCAGATTGATCACATCGCGATCAGCTACCGCTGGCGTGGTTGTGTACAAGATTGCCGCTCCTTTTGGAGTACCTATCTGGGCTTTGATCATGCCTTGGTCTGCTCCAATTTGACCTTACTTTTCAATGAACAACGAAGTGACCGCCATCAACGGATTGATGTTAGCAATCTGGTTGCAAATTCTGTTGCTAGTAAGTATCGAACCGAGCTAGTTTCTAGGCTAGCTACCATTCCACCGAAAAGTATAGATGAGCATTGGTTGCGATTGCATGACGCCATGAAAATGGCGGATACAGTCGGTTGTGGGTTCGCGAAACGTCCCGCTTATAAGTACTGGGTTTCTTCAGGTTCCTTACAACTCATTGAAGCCCGTCAGTTTACTCCGGGTGACCGTGAGTATGACCACAAACGAAGGATGTTACGTAAGGAAATCGGGCAAAGCTTGCGTAAGGACCGAGAAGCCTAGTGGTCGGAGCGTGCAAAGCGCATACCATACCTACGGACACTGATTGCCAACTGATTAAGTGCGGATTGCATGGCTTGGGCATTATCGCACAGTAAGACAATATCGTCTGCATACTCAAGGTCGAGAAGTCTTTCTCCAGGCAACAGATCCACACCACCATTACTTACATCCATCAGAGCTGTTTCCAGGATGTCATCGATGGCAAAGTTGAAGAGGAATGGTGAGATTGGGCGACCCTGTCTAACCCCACTGCCCGAATGGAACAGTGGAGAATGGTGGTTGTATGCTCTCATTCTGCCTAAGGGCCTTTAGGAAGCAGCAGCTGCATCTGGTAAATACCGGAATCTCTTCCAACTCATCCGAGTCACTGGCAGTAAGAAGTCTAGTGTGAGCGAAACAATCTGCGAGGATGGTGGGATGCCAATCACTAACATCCATCAACGTCTTGGACGATGGGCAGAATTTTTCGAAGGGCAGTTCAACTGGCCTGCTGCTCCGGCAACATCGGTCAAACTGTCCTGCCCTCCATGGCCGGTGACGACTGATCCACCGAATGAGGCGGAATTCCGCAAGGAACCCCAACTCTTGAAGCGCTACAAATCACCTGGCTCAGATGACTTACCTCCGGCTATTTCTAAAGATGGTGGTGACTTTCTGACTAAGGAACTGTCGACGTTGTTTACCAAGGTTTGGGAGCTATAGAGTGTACCAACGTCATGGAATGAGTCGATAGTTGTCCCAATCTTTAAAAAGAGTTCACGTTGTTCCTGTAACAACTATCGGGAGATAAGTCTACTTCCGATTGCGTCCAAGCTATTGGCTTCCGTCATGCTTTGTAGGTTGTTCAAAACCCGAGAAAGATTGACTCGCGAGGAGCAGGCTGGGTTTCGTTCTGGTCGAGATTGTATTGATCATATCTTCACCCTCCGCCAAATGTTAGAACATCGCCATACTTATCAAAGGCCAACAATCGTAGTGTTTCTTGACATCAGGGCTGCCTTCGATTCGTTGGATAGGACTGTTCTCTGGGATTGTCTATTGAAGAAGGGTGTGTCTGAGAAGTTTATTAACATCCTAAAAGCCCTATATACAAACACCTCAGGCAGAGTGATGGCATACAACTACCTCTGTCCATTGTTCCATTCGAACAGTGGGGTTAAACAGGGTCGCCCAATCTCACCACTCCTCTTCAACTTTGCCATCGATTACATTCTAGAAACAGCTCAGATGGATGTAAGTAATAGTGGTGTGGATCTGTTGCCTGGAGAAAGACTTCTCGACCTTGAGTATGCGGATGATATTGTCTTACAGTGTGATAACGCCCAAGGCATGCAATCCACACTTAGTCGGTTGGCAATCAGTGTCCGTAAGTATGGGTATGTGTTTTGCACCTTGGAAGTGCTAAGTACTTCAACAAGACTAGCAGGATCGTAATCCTGTACTCACCCTGGATGGTGAGCAGATAGAAGTAGTCGAGAAGTTCGTGTATCTGGGTAGCTGCATAAGTGCTGGTGGGGGTGTGAGTGATGAGATCAATGCACGTATAGTGAAAGCCAGAGCGGCTCATGCTAATCCGGGCCATCTTTGGCGCCTTCATGATGTTAGTCTGGCTGAAAAAGGTCGGATCTACAACGCGTCGGTGATAACAATTTCGCTCTATGCTTGTGAAACCTGGCCTCTCCGAGTTGAGGACGTTAGACAACTCTCTGTGTTCGATCATCGCTGTCTCCGAAGGATTGCTGACATTCAGTGGCAACATCATGTTAGTAATGCAGAGGTTCAGCATCGTGTGTTCGGGCGCAGACGATAATGCAATTGGTGTCACCATCTTGCATTATTTGCCGACTCTGGGACTGGTTGAAAAAAGCGGAGAGGTGGTCAGTGCATGACACGGTGTCGTGGCATGAAAGAAAGCTGCAAAGGACTGGCTTGTGTTGGTCCTTCACAACTCCCTGGCTGGGGTCCGAGAGATGGTGCTACACAGTGGCTAGAGACGTTATCAGATATGGCTCAGAATAGAAGCCATTAGCGATCCTGCTGTAACCTTCTTTTACTTTCTTCATAAAAAGTGGTTGTGTCTCCCTTACCTGAAAGATTTCTTCTGATTGTACCTTTCCGTTCCCTCATTATTACTATACTACCTTACACTAACCTCTTCTTTATTGTTCTCTTTTTTTACACTCCTTCGAATTTTCATTGTTTTGTGTGGCGCATATATATTGGCGCTCTCTTGTACCAATATTTATGTGTTCAAATAAAATAAAAATTCATTAAGATGATCGCAACAAATAATTTGAGAGCAACTTTGCAAGCTGGCTAAAAAATAGTACTAATATATAGTATGAAATTATGAAGAATAGAATGGTCTAAGTAGTTTTTAACAAAATGAAACTTGAAGGTATAGTAATAATTATTATAATTCCATAGACAAAGCGTACAAGTCATTGTAAAGGAATCAACATGATTGATTAAATCATACTTACGAATGATTCATACTTGTTTGTCTGCAGATCCGTCACATAAACCATACCTTTGTTATGTCTGATGAAAAAAAGAGACAAAATGGATAAAAACGTTTGTACTGGAAAGTGTGACAAATATAAATTAATCAATACCTATAAGAAGATAGTCATCTGCGTTGAAAATAGTGGAATAGTTAATTTTTAGGAGATAAACGAGGATAAAATCATGTAGCAACATGATACGATGTCCAAGAACTAGTTCCAATAATCAGGTTTCTATTGATTGGAGAGTGAGTGATATACGAAGTAATTTTCTCCAATCGCTTATGATAGTCTACATTTATTTTGTGTCAGTGTTTCCTACATAAGCACGTTAACTTATTACATGATAAGCCTATTCTTCTAGCTAGTGGTCTCCTTTTGAAATCAAATCATTAAGAAGTTTAATTCAATCATTTGTTTTGCTGAGCAGCTGTTATTTACCTACGTCATGTAGTTAGATTTGTCTATCGACCAGGATTCTACAAATTGATTTTGACAAACGAAAATTCTCTCATGAAATCATTAAAAGTCTCATCCATAACCCAATAAGACAGAAACGAAACATTTAATGATATCATAAAGGCTTAATTTAAACAGTATTCACTTCGAAATCCAAGCAACTTGAAAACCACAACATTGAAATTGTATGAATGTATCAGATAGATAGCAAGGATTTGAATGACTGAACGGATGAACGGACAGAAGAGGTAATTGTTACAATTAGAACTTGTTGGTTGCAAGTAGAACAACGCGTACTGCCATCTACAGCTTTTGACACGTAGGAACTTATTTTCAGCGAGTCCTAACTGTGAGTACTTCGCGTACAACTACGTAATAGTGTGTTAAAATATTTTTGTAATCCATGTGTAAAAGCTAATTATGCTTGTGTACTTTTGTTTCAACACTTAAAAAGATTGTCACAAACCAATATAGAGAAGAAAAGCTTTTCAGACATCTGTCAGTTAGCTGGTCAAATTGAGTAAAAGTGTAATGAGTTGCTGGTTTTAGAAAACACCGAAAGGCATTTTAGGCTGTCCCAGTTATCAGCTGACTGAGATTTCAACGGAACTATAAATGAATTGTAAAACTTGCCACTACCCTGACTTTTAGTGAAAGACATCGAACCTCACGTGATAACAAGAAGGAAATGGTCTTGACTAATTCTCAGGTGTATCGGGACAAGTGATCACAGTTTATATCAGCACAGTAAAGCGATGACAAGTGAATGAAACATAGTGTTACCAATAGAAATACACAAAGACGATCCATAACTGGTGATTCTGTATGCTTAACGACGCTTTACAGTAGTATTCCAGGGTAAAATGCAAAAATGTGTAAGACTCAGCTATTAAGAGACATGATATTTCGCTTATGTCTGAAGATCTTAGGGATCCTGATTGCAGCAGCGCAGTTGCATTCGTTCTCCACCTTTGAAATTATGAGCTTTTACATAGTTCCATACTTTTTATTTTGTTTAATTCATTCTATTCAATCGATACTTCCTGTCTGATTTTTCTTGAATCACTGATACAACTAATATTGCCAAGAATCTGATATGTATCTTGTTAATTTCAATTGGCCCTTGTGATTTATACGGCAGCTTAGAAAGATGAACATTTATATCAGAACATAAGTTGCTCATACGTGAAAACCAAATAGGATTTTATTACGCCCAAGTTTTAAATGTAATAAACATATGCATGAAATACGAAGCTAAAAGGACAGATAACTATTAGTAAAAATTAGTGATGGGAATATATTCACGGAAACTACACTAGTCAAACAGTGCGAATTTCCATAACTTAGACATTCATATAACCGTAATCATCTACCTCAAAAAATCTGCATATTACTTGCGGTTAACTAAGTCATAAACTTAAGTATAGGCTATAGTTAAATTTCAATCGCTGAGAATATTTCAAATATAATTTTCACATATAATGATTTCTCTATACTCGGCGCTCAATTACTGTCAAACTATTCGTTCTAATCTTGACGAATATTCGTGTATATTAAGTATAGACTGTTTTTATTTTATAAATAAAAATAATATATTTGTAATATCCCAATGAGTAGAAAATTGGATTTTCTGACGTTTCGTGACTTAGTGTAAGTCACTTCTTCAGAGAACAAATAACCAAATTAAAATTCATCCAAGTTTAAATAGTACAACGGAACAATGCAAGAATAATATTGGATCAATCAAAAACAAGTCTGAACAAGTTGATGTCATGTCATTTCTGTCAAGGTGATTCATAGCTGATATGTTTGTAAATTTGTGTGTATGTATATGTGCATTGTTTAAGAATGAAAACTTGTGTGACCTTTATGGTAAGAAAGGATAGAGTTTAAATTTGTAATAAGATAGTGTGAAATTGTAAATACGATCAGACTGAGTGGTTAGGATAGATGGTCCAAGTAGGCTGTATAGTAAGACCTTCCTTTCTATTGAGAGAAGTAGGATTAAGCATTATATGGAACGCCTCAGCTACCCTCCTTTCTTTGTAGTTAGAAAAGCCTTTTTGCAATATTTTGATATTTTTAAAATCGATTTGGTGGTTGTTGAAAATGGCATGAACTGCTATTGCCGATTTAATTTGAAGTTGGTTCAATTCTACAGGATTGTTAGGTTTCTTTGTGTACCTAATATGTTCTTTGGCTCTGGTCAAGATTTCGCGGGATGACTCTCCAATATAATAGGCATCACAATCGATACAACCTAATTTGTAGACGCAGTTCTGTGTGGACATGAAAGGGATTTTGTCTTTCAGGCGAACTAAAGTATTACGTAGTGTGTCCGTTGTTTTGTAATACACTTTGATTTTGTGATGTTTTAAGATTCTTTGAATTTCTTCTGTTGTGCCATGACGGTATGGTAGAACTACAGTACCAATCCATGGCATTTCATTCGAATCATTATTAGAATGTGATAAACTGTTTTGTTTTAATAAGCTTCTAATAATCTTCATAGGAAAATTATTAAATTGTAAGATGCTAACTATATTCGTTTGTTCTTTTTGTTTATCTTCCTCTGATGTGATGATCTTGTTAGCTCTTCTAAAAAGATTTAAGGCTAGAGAGATCTTTGCACTGAAAGGATGTGCTGAATGGAAGTCAATATAACGATTTGAGTGTGTCGGTTTTCGGTAAATGGAAAGGTTTAGACTTCCATTTGGATTTCTTTTTACTAAGCAGTCCAAGAATGGTAGCTCACCATGTACATTTTCATTTTCATTCGTGAATTTGATGTGCGATGAAAGTGTATTTATTCGTTTTGAAAAAGATCTTAGATGAGTCTTTTTTATAATAACAAATGTATCATCTACATATCTAAGCCAAATTCGTGGTATAATGTTGTGGGCGAAGATATTTGATTCTATGTATGCCATAAAAAGGTTGGCTACAATCGGGGACACGGGGGATCCCATCGCTACACCGTTAGTTTGTTTAAATAACATACCGTTGAAAGTAAATAGCGTTGAATTTAAGCACAGTTTTAAGGATTTCATGATTAGACTGATGCTCAACGGACATCTGTCAGGAAGAGTATTGTCGTTCTCAAGTAAACTACTAATGAATTCTAAGCATTTATCAATAGGAACACTTGTGTATAAAGAAACGACATCAAAGCTTACCATAATTTCATTCTTCTCGATGAATAATCCGGATAATTTTGATTTAAAGTCATAAGTGTCTATAATTATATTATGTGAGTTTAGTTGTAGTGGTTTTAATATGTTGCTTAAATATTTTGATAATGCATATGTTGGGGTGTTTGTGAAGTCTACTATAGGTCTTAGAGGAATATCTGGTTTATGAATTTTTGGTAAGCCATAAAACCGTGAGACATTACATGATTTGGGATGCAACGCAAACCAAAGCGAGACCCCAATGAATGGTTTTAGCTCGTTCAGAAGTTGATTTGTTTGTAATTTGACTTTGTTCTTAATCGTAAGAGAAGTTTTTGGATTTTATTTTAAGTGAGCTTAAATAATTGTGAAAAGCATTTATAACTAAATTACTTTTTGCATTGTACCTATTAAGTTAGTATGCATGTAGAAGATTTATAGCAAACAAAACGTAATATATTCATTTGATTTCATAACATTTGTCAGTTGTACTTGATAACAGTTCATTGGAGATTAATTGTATGAGATCTGACTATAATACTTACAGAACGGAATGATTTGTACTATAACTATAAAGATTTATGATTATTCCAAAAAATTGTTTATAGACAAACTTATACACATATTCATAAGTCAATTAAAAAGTGACAAAAGTGTTGATAAACGAAGAGTTGTAAAAGAAATCCAACAGTTCAAACAAAGTAAATAATAAAATAAGACACTAATACAGATAGAGCGAAACGCCTTACCCACTAACCACTTGATTACTACTCCCGCCAAGAAAATCAACACTAAAAGTCTTCGTTATATTTCTTTCACCAGGTTGAAGTTCGGCATGCTTGAGATTTAGCTCCTCATCACGCACATCGGTTAGACTGGTGAAATACACTGAAATAAATGTGAATGTTAAGATGAGGGTAAAACATTGTTGAAATGAAACAAAAATAACCTAGTAAAATCTCTGTATTTTAAAGTAGGCGTTTTTATTTTGAAGCTTACAGTCCACTCCCGATAGCATTATTAATCGTTACCAATATCAACTGACTTTTACTGATAGTACCTACATGGGTGGACTCAGAACCAGACGTAATGGATGGGCAAGGCTAAATATAAAGAACGATTCGAAAGGAAAAAAATGGGACGATACTATGACTTTAGATACAAAAATTAAGAATTAGTACGAATGTGACATTGTGATTGATTTAAGCCCATATCAGATGGACCCAGCTACACCTGAAAATGAGCACCCGAATCTTAACAGGTAGTAGGTGCCTCCAGATATAACTCAAACCTACTGCCAATGACACGAACTGATATGTCTTAGTTTGATATTTTTAACCAGCTATGTTGTTCGAGACTGAACGTCGGAATAGTCGGTGACCTGGATGGGTGACACATCTCAGTTGAAGTATCTCAATCTCTTAAAACGCGCAAAACCCAAGTTATTAAGGAGACAATCATGCCGGCTGATTGATCAAACATGATGCGATTCCCCAAAAGCAGATGATCCTATCAATCTTCAGAAATGATCACTATGGATCAGTTGGTCTGTGTTAATCTCAGCAGTGATTTTGTGGAAGTCCAGTTTTATCTGATATTTCCAAGATAAAAACGGAATTTAACACTGAGTTTGTACGATCCCCATTTTGATTAACACACTTAGCCGACTAGTTGAGGGGGGATGACACAGAATCCTATGGGAACATTATTAAAATTACACAGGCTAGGGACAAACAATTTTAAAATGCAAAAATGGTTCTGTGAAAATCGGGAAACTACGTTCTGACAAAATGGACATGGTAACTAAACTATACATTGAAAATAAAACATTGCATTTGAAATCTCATTACAAATAAATTGTTACTTACGAATAGGAGACAAACTGCAGAAAACAAGGGTATCCCCCAAATTGCTAGAAAATTTTGTAAGTAATGAAAATGCACACACTTTAAAGAGAGTGACACAATACTCCAGGTATATTCAGGAACATTAATCTCATTCATGTAACGAAAATAATGTCCAGAAGAATCAAATACTCGAATAAACCCATCTGTACAAAAGTTAAAATTAGCAATCACATATTCACCTTGCGAAGCAGTGAAGAACAGGTCCCCAGAAGAATTATATATACCGCAGTAGACATCGTTATAACATTCTAGTGACCACAAAACCTCATTTGGAATAGTTTGACTTTGGAAATATGACTTGAAAGCACTAGAGAAGCTGTTTCCTTTCAAAGAAATCTAAAAAGGATAGAGCATCTGAATAATAATTACATTGTTGACTTCATTTATGATGTTTAACCTTCTGGTATCCAAAAAGTTACAACAACCTTTGTAATCTAATTGCATCCTCAAAATAACACAATTCAACGCCGAATTTATTTCAATTTCGTGAAGTATAAACGAAAATTCGTCAGGACGATATGAAGAGATGGTCAGATGTTAAACTCCTAAAATCTAATTGAGAGACCAATTACATGTGCAAACCCGAAAAAAGATCCGATGTATAGAGCGAAGGACAGTGCGTAAGCGAATCCAGATGAAATAATTGTGGTGTTCAGTTTTGGGTACGTTTCCGTCTAACCTGAAAGTACCTTGTATGCTAAGACAGTGAAAGAGTCTGGAAGGGAAAAGAACAAAAGAAAATGTCAGCCGACCTCTCAGCAAGTAGATAGAATACACTGCCAATATCCAACATCTCTGTTACGGGCACGTGTAAACGACATGGTGGACCTCAAGGTGGGGCCATGCGCACGTCTTAAGAAGTGTTAGGAACAACATTGGGGCGTACAAGCCTGAGATCAAGCTTTAAGGAGACAATAAGGAGTGGATTTACATGGCGAGTGTAAGTGGTTTATGTCAAATGAGGTGGAGTATTCATGACATGGCATTTCGACAGGTTACGTTTCAACCCATTGTCTACTGACAATCCTCTATTGGTGTAAGGTCCTTTTGAAGCTCAAGTGAATCCGTTTTGAGTTTTATGGGCCTCTAGATCATTGAGTCATTTGTGTATATCAGTGTTGTCGAGCTAATTCTATCGTCAATGAAGAACAAGAACAGGAGTGAACCTAAAGATTTTGCATGTGAAACACGATATCGAGGCCCTCCAACCAGTGTGCACTCTATTTACCTTAATTTGAAACTTCCTGTTCTTTAGGAAGTTTCGGAACCAAGATAGAATAGGGCCTATCTAACCCATCTTTGCAACCTTTGCTATGAGTACTTGAGGCACTGTATAAAAAGCTTTGGCTAATTCGAAGAATATTAGATAAATCGGTATCTTTTGGTCCAAACAGGTCTTCCAGCTTTGTCATGATATGAGGAGATTGAACTCACAGGATCTGCCTTTCCTGAGTCCGCATTGGACTTCCTATAGGATGTTGTTTTTATCTATCTATTCTCTCATTTGTTCATTCAACAGTCCTCCTATTACTTTCGATGGTATTGGGAATAACGCGATAGGTCTGTAACAGGTTGAGTCTTTCCTATCGCCTCAATGAAGATTGTAGAGATTGGACTGCTTACATTCTCTTGGCAGTTGGTGTAAATCTAGTGAGTGTCTGAACACGTCAAACACTAGTGTTCTGATGTCCTCCGCACAGTGTTTCAGGATTATAGGTCAGCTGTTGTCACATCCTGATTTTCCTGGGCGCAGGGATTTTAGTCTCCGAAATACTAATCCAAGATCCTAAACTGCCACTTAAATTCGGAGATACTTCGCGCTTCTAGGCTCCTAGTTTAATTGGTCTGTGAAGTTGGAGCTAAATATCTCTGACATCTCAAATCCATTTAACCCTCTACGAGTACAGATCCCTTGGCTTGTGGGCTTCCTCCTGGTTATGAATCAGTAGAGATATATGCGGTCAGTTTGGATTTTGGCCGCTAGCTTGACCTGAATACATATCCCATTACTGCAGACTCTGGCGTCGCATCTATTTCTCAATGCCAAGTAAAAGCTAAGATTAGAATCCTTCACGGAGACTCTCAACTTGTCCCAGGCTCACCGTTTGGTCAGTAGCAAGCGTTTTGTGACTCGTCTAACACAGGGTCTTAGCTTTCCGAATGTATTCTTACGTTGTGGTACACTGTGTTGGACAGCATACTGAATCATACCCCTCACTGTCCACCAGTGGTCATCCACTGTTAACCACCACTCTCATCACCTGATGCTCCTCTACAGACGTATGGGTCAACAGGATTTTAAGGAGAGTGTTGTTTAAACTGTGTTAGTCAGTTGCGTGGGAACTGAACTTTGTAGGGTTTCGCCTGTATATCATGTCCCATTAGCGAAACAGTGTTCTCTGTGATCTAAACTGTCGGTTGTTAATCAAGGTCAGCCGACACTGAATTGTGTTCTATTTGATCTTCCTGCTGTTGCTCTGCCGATCTAGGTTGGCTTTTACAACATTTGACGTGATTAGAGAGATCGAACCTCGAGTACTACCACGTCGTAGGAGCCTCAATTAAGCCCACTCGGTTTCTGAAGTTCACAGCCACCAGAGAAGATTTAATGATAGTGAGGTGTAAAGGACGAAGTAGCCTGGACACGCTAATTATTGTAGTGATGTGAAGGCCTATGCTATGTGATACCTAACGCCACTGTTGCATATCGTGTTTGTGAGCTTTATCACAACTATCGACTACCAGCGCAGGCACTCCGCGAACCACCATGCTAATTGGTTCTCGTGTATTTGCCGATCTACAGGCATCTCTTAAGGTCCACGGCTTATCGTGTCAAACTCAGTTTAAAAGGGTCGCTTAACACATGGTTTCTGAGGTGCAAAATTTCTTCTGTAACGTGTGTTGAATCTAAACTGACCCCTAGTAGAGAGGGCTTACCTTTGCTACGTCTTGGACCTTATACAGGCGGTATCGCTTGGCTGAAGTAAAACATTTTCCTTGTACTGTACAGTATATGCCCCGTCGTTTTTTTTATCACAGGCTACTCTACTTTCTAATACATTACTCTCCAAAATGGAACATTAAATAAAACGACTGAGCTGAGTAATCCATCCCGAGCTCCCAAGTTTGAGGACATTTTGGGGTGTTTTAGGGAAATCCCCAAAGTCAACTGACCCTGACCAAGGCTAAAGGGGGATTTTGGGGGTTTTGAGCCATTTCCCCAAAGTTCACAATAGTGGCTTCCCCAAAATGGGTCAAATTTTCCCCGAAATTGGGAGCTCGGGATGTTGCTCACACTGACAGTGAGGGGATTATCCCAGACCAGGACAAGTTGTATGTTGCACAAAAGATATGTCCACATCATGTCGGACATTATCTTGGTTTAGACATTCATGATACTCCTACTATACCTAGTACAAAACGTTTCGAAGCAGGCGTTGTGTTCCCTTTAGAACCAGGTATTTACTTCAGAGATGAGTTGGCGAAACTGGGCGTTTCGAGAGACTTTCTGGGCATCGGTATGCGAGTAGAAGACGATTTCGTCATGTCAAAAACTGGCTGTGCTGAGAATTTAGAACACGTCAAAGATGATTTATTATTTGGAGAAGCCTAAAATTCATGTCATAAACTCGAAATTGATGAATATGTTGCTCACACTGACTTGAAGCTTTTTTCTGGTGTTGTCTTGAGCATTTTTATAATCCTATTGCTGTAAACGGAGATTGTCTATTCGTTAGTAACGTCTGAATTAAGACCTCTAGCAATGCTAGTCACTTTTGTTTTTAGTATGGCTACTGATGACTGTGCACGTTATTCATTATATTAAAATCTAAAATGTGAGAAAATTTGAGGAAGTACGCGAGATAAAAACTTCGGGGGGAAATAACAGAGATAAGTGAGTATATACGCTATAAGAGAATAGGACTTGAAAGAGTTAAAACCGCAACGTTACATTTGACAGTCCTAGAAACTTCGCATAGATTCAGTAACTAATCCACAAATCCGTGTTTGAAAGAAAATGGGTATTTATATTACAACTGAGGCAACTAAGAATAGAGTAGTTGATCGGAACAGACAGATATACTACAGCGGTCAAATCTTAATATGACTATGGCCAGATTTGTTGTTATGGTTGTTTGACAGCAAGGTGAAGACGGACTACGTATACGTATATATATTCAAATAAATATTCAAATGACTGCGGAAAGGTAGATGCTTACAGTTATCAGTGAAAGATCAACGAGATCATGTCAGCATCGTAGAATAAAAGCAATCGAAAACGATGAGAAATAACAGAATCATGAGATTGGCAGCGCTTCAGGTGTATCGTCTACTGATGGAGGATGCGAGCACTTGAAGGTCAGACTGTCGTGAGATGATTGGTGCGTCAAATCGACAATTCGTGGAGCTTTCAGAAGGGGTCAAACTAATACATTTTTAGATTTGAATTAAGTTCAGCCGCACCATATGTAATAACGTCCGTCTTTCAAGTAACGAAGACGATGTTATCTTGGTGATGCATGTTATAGGATGAATTTCAATGATATTATCTAATATCGACGAGAAAACAGATGTTATCTCGTCGACTTACAAGTTGGGACAATTTTGAGAACTATTTCAAAGAAGTACACAAGGTAATATGACTTCTGTGGTTAATAATTATTTTTGTAGTATACGCTTTTTAAGTACGTTATATCAGTATGTAAAGAGAACAATGGTGACCCAATTGTAAGGTATTTTTTCATGAGATATGTTTGTACATATTGACGTAAACCCAGTTCGTCAGAGTCAGATGCTTGTGTTCAGGATGTTGATGATGATAGTGATCATCAATTTTCCGAAGAGCATACAACTTCCTATCACAGTATCGTTGTTTGTTGCGCAGTTTTGGTAGCCTTGACGACAACACAATTTTCAGACGATATACGCTTAGGCCATGTTATTTCATATAAAAATAGATTATTTGCCTACCGTCAGTGTAAATTTGAGTGGAAATAATTGCTAGTCTGCGATGCGAATACGGAAAAACTTTTATAGCAGCACTTGAAAAATGATTTATCAAGGACTTCGCGATACCGTGTACCGCAAAATGGAAAACCCTTTTTCACTGAATTGTGAAAACGGAAAATAAAATTTCAAATTTGAATTCATTTGGTATTGTTTGGCTTGTATCTTCCCATTAAGGTTTAAGACTGCAATTGGTCAGTCTGTTATTGGCATATGTGCATACTGTGCGTATGCCTCGACATTATCTTAATTCACAAGCTATTTGTAAGCAATGATGGATAATGGGTAGCAGTGGAATCCATGACGCGCGTTTCGTAGCTGAGTGGATAACGCGCAGGCGTTTGAAGCGAATGGTACTGGGTTCGAGTCCCAAAGTGAACATCAACTCCGAGATGTCCTAAATTGGACAGGAAAAGGGATCTCGACAGCGCTACTATCGATGGAGCATGTAATAAAACTAGTGACGGCATGCTGCAAGTCAGCACCGTCATGGCATCTATGATAATAGACTCCCTCAGCATACTCGGGTCCCTCGGCACACGATCCCCTAATGCAACGGTGATTCCCGAAATCTCTGTAAATGATTGGGCGATCGTTAACAAGGTTAAAAATGACCAGGCGTCACCGTCTCTTTGTTTCACAGTGACAGAAAGACAGGAATCGATGGTGGGGTAGCCATATACATATGATCCTGCCTGACGATACATCAAGTGCACAACCAAGAATTGATCAATCTTGATGAATCCATATGGTGCTCATTAAGATTAGATACCACATCGAGGTGTCTGTTGAGGTCATCTACGGGAAGCCCACTGCTGATGTCGAGTACGACAATCGTATGCTGGAAAAATTATCCCGCTCTACTCGTCTCGGATTTTTAGTGTCATTGGGGCCTAACCACACAACCCTGAAAGCCAAACACAAAACAACTGGGAAAATAGATATTCAATATTTATTACGGGAAAAATCCAACGATGGAGATGGCGGTAACAGTGCACTGAATTACTTCGAATTGATCGGATAGCATGTCTCGGCCTTGCAAGCGTGATCTCACTTATGTAACATTATTTTTATCCATATTAAATATATTGTTCTATCTCCAGTCTAAATGCGCTGATGATTGTTACAACGTGATGAATGAGGGTAGATATTGATGTGAATTTCACATAAGATCTTACAGATTAGGCAATTACATCATAACAAATCTGTAATTTTAGGATTTGATCCTTTATTAGAGCAGTACTAATATCGAAGTAGACCACAATTCTACAGATTCTAAGGAAATTCAATCTCCCTAACGTCAAGTTCGCGGAACATACCTAGATTAGAGGTGAAAACTCTATTGAAGCTCAGTTCTTCAACCTTATTGAGGATCTGAGATTATTCGAAAATGTGAGATCGGCAACTCGTTGTAGAAACAGTCTGACGCCGTCGCGCTTAGACTGGGCATTCACAAACGAAGAGTTCCTAATTAATAACCTCTCAATCTAGGCTCTACTGGGGAGAAGCGATCACACTGTCATAGCGTCTAGATTTATTTGCAAGTTTGAACGAAGTTTTCCCGTCAACAACAGGCGCTAAAATTTTGAGTGGTTGAATGTGTCAGCTTTACAGGACAATCTAAAACGAGCAGATTGTCAAACCCACCCTCAATTTGGTGTGGATGCTCATTAGGATTTCTAAGTGCACACGATCTTACCTGCTACAAAGCAGTGTGTTCCTCAAATGGTCCACAAAATCTACAAGCAACCTACAGTCATTAAAAACCGCGCTCACCGTTTGCTTAACCGCAAAAAGCACTGTTGTGCGGAATAAAAACGAAATGATAACAACTGCGCGTACAAGCACTACAAACATATGAGAAAGAGATGTAAAAATGCAATAAGAGAAGACAGGCTTAAGTACCAGATAAAGCTTATCGATAAACTTTTCTCCGATCCGAAAGCTTATTGTGCTATGCATCCTCTCTTCGTCACCCCAGAACCGGAGTTTACCAACTGTTAGGTCCTAATGGTCCGACCAATAACGTTGATGATGCTTGACAGTACTCTTGAACATTTCAACTGACCGACATTAACTTTATTGATGAAAGCGTTATCTGCAACTGCAAAGGACACTCTGAAGTGAATATAAGCGCTGACTTGGTGTGCCGGAAACTGCAGCACATACAAAAGACACATCTGCTGGTCCGGATATAGTTCACTCTGCCATACTGAGGAAAAGAGTTTCAATCCTAGCAACACCACTTAGCGCGCTGTTTTCACACTCGCTAAGCTGTAACACACTGCCAGAAATTCGGTAGCTGGCTCACATCACATCAATTTCAAAGGAGATCGACGTAGCGGAACTTCAAGCCCCTGACCAGTGGCCCTTCACTTTATACCTTCAAAAATTATGGAGTTCTTGATACGCAACGGTATACACAACTACTTATTATCCTTAAACTTCTTTTCATCCTAACAGCATGCTTTCAGGAAGGGTCATTCTTGTATAACCTACCTGCTGATGACGGTGAACAGATGTGCAACCATGCCTAGTCTCAAGGGGAAGGTTGATCTCATTTATCTTGACTTCTCAAAAACTTTTGATAGGATCA